AATTTCTTGCAAATATCTTTAGAATACTAAAGAGAGACTATTTTTAGGAAAAAATAAAAATATTCCTTTTACCTTTGTATTTTCTAAATAGCTGAATCAGAACTAGAAAGAAGGAGAAAGCACTTTAGGGGAGGGGGGTGAGAAGGGTAGCAGGAACAAAACAAAATGCTAAAAGCTGGATTAAAAAGGCCCCACACTGAAAATACCAAGTCCCGGGGATTCCACCAGGGCTTCTAAAACATGGGATTTGTTTGAAGAGCGACGCTGCCCTCTGGTCCCCCAGGATATGGCATTCTCAATGCAGCCCCAGAGGGTCACCAATCCATTTGTGTCACCTATCCCGGGATCTGACAAGTCTCCCCAGGGGCTCAGTTAAACAAGCCTGCAGTTTTTAAACAAAGTGGATTTTAATTGAGAAGCACCTGTGGCGAGAGCCCCCCCGGCATTATTGAGCAGCAGATTTCTCCCAGTGAATCCCAGAGGCAGGAGGTGGGGGCAGCAGGGCCCTGGGGGCTGCCCGTACGTCCCACCTGCAGCTCAGAGCCAGCCCTTTCATGAAACCCCCGCGCAGAAATGTGTAGGATTTGCCCGCACCCCACGACGAGTGTTTTTCCCAACAAGCTGTTCCCAGGGTGCTGAAAAGCTATCATTCATGGAAATGTCTGAGGGGGAAGGAGGCACCAAAGGGGAGTTCAGGAGGCCACGGGCACCAGTGGGAGCCGCAGAATGAGACCCTCTGTAAGACATGCACCTGTTTGTGGCCACCACAACAGCTCAACTAGAAAGCTTAAAGTCCCAAACTGGGGGAGTGGGAGAGGGAGGGAAACAGGGAAAACATAATGAAAGCTTGTCCTAATATCAAAATACACATTAACCCACAGGGTGCAGGCTCACAGCAGATGGCTGTAATTTAGAACAAAGCCCTGGCAATGAGAAGTACTCAGAACTGAGGAGGGCGCTTCAGACACATCCTGGTATCATCAGAGATGAGCTTGGGTCAAAGACTGGAATTGCACCACTTCATAAAATACGGGGCTAAAACCCCCACTTATTAAACAAAATTTCATGTTGAGCAGTTGACAGGAGGTGCCAAGGTCTGTCCAAATGTAGTAATCAACAACTCCTGTACACAAGAGTTTACAAGGCATGGAAAACAGAGGGAAGTCAATGCTTGGATGCTACACAAATGCTTAGAATGATGAGGAATGTGCTGCAGTTTTAATGACACTCTTTTTTTTTTTTGCCTTGTCTATATTAATCAACCTCAATTCTAAGCAAAAATAGGAACAGTGTGTGATGTGCAGGTGAAGCACACGGTGCAGAATAAAGGGGGTAAGGAACAGAAATACCAACCCCCTCCCATTCCATGTCTGGGAAAACAGGATTTTTTAAACGGTTTATCAACAATTTCAGATTGTTTGGTTGTTTTGTTTTTCTTTTAAAATGACCCTGAAATAATAGGCTACTGCTTGCCACAGTGCCTTGATCTGCAAGGTTTGATTTAACTTTTTTTTAAAAAACACTGACAACTTGGACTTAGATGGAGAGAGACTATTTACAAGAGCATGGACAGGATAAGGGGGAATGGCTTCAAACTGACAGAGAGTAGGTTTAGACTGGATAAACTACAGGCACTGCATAACAATTCTGCAAGTGGACAAACAGGCTGAAATAATTCCTGAATGACAAAAGGAAAAATTCAAGCAGAAATCCCTTTTGTGACATTTTGTCTCTAAAATCATGTTTGCTTGTGCTACAAAAATGAAAAGGAACTTCAAAGTTTAACATAAGTGTGTTATGGAAGCCATCTGAAGTTTAAACACTGCCAAATGCAAATTACAGTGTGTCTTGCTCGGGAACTTCTGGGATGTCCCCATGGCATCACCAGTGCAGCAGTAGCTGCACTTCTGAACTGAGGTGAGATGCTGTGCAGCAAAAACCAGCAGGTTTATTCTAAATGCTCCAGGCTTCCCTTTGTCTCTACCTCCTAAGAAAAGCCATGCAAAACTACAATTCTCTGATTTATTTCTGTATTTTCTCTGTACTATTTAACTATTTTAACTATTACTTCTGAAATATGTACTACCTTTAAAGTAAGCTGTAAAGCTGCAGAAAATGCTGAGCATAACTGCAGAGTATCCTTGATTCCAATAAGGACTCCAACCTTAATGATTCCATGACTGTATAGGGCAATTAAATGCAGCACAGAGCCAATCTCATCCAAATTACATTTGAAAGCTGACATCTCTTTTCTCTTAGCCTGGAGAAGGAAGGCTTTTCCTAAAAGGTATTTTTTGGACAGCAAACTTCTGCAAGTGTCCAGAGAACAGGAGGAATGATGCAAACTAACCATACTCTCTCATTTGACTGACAACGTGTTCTCAATCTTCCAGGAGACCTGAACTCCCCCCTGTCCCACCCCTCAAGATCCATTCCCATTTGCTGCTGCCTTCTCCAGCCTGGGCAGTTCCACATCAGATGGACACCATCAGGCAGCTCTGAGAGAAGTGCTGAGAATCCTTCACTTCTGGACTTCTTTTCCAGCACCACGCCAGTGAGGTGTGGAAAAGGCCCTGTACAGACACTGGACTCAGAACTGGAATGTTAATTCAGCAAATTCAGTAGCTCAGCTCCCAGGTCTGCTTTCAATGTATAAACTGAGGTTTTCCAGAGCTTACAATATGGCCAAATTAGGGATGGATTATGCCAGGGGGAAATGCATCACTCGCATTTATACTGGGAATAGATAAGTCTGTAAAAAATTGATTTTAGGGATACTATTGACATACAGAGAAAAAAATGCCAGTTTCTCATTCTCATGAATTCCTGGATGTTTTCAGAAATCACTGGGAGAGGAAGCTCCCGTAACCAGTTAAGCCTAAAGCATGAACAGCTTCCCCTGGAATGGTTATGCCTTGGCCACGCTCCAAGGGACTGGAGCGGGATCACCCCACGGAAAAGCTCGTTGGCAGAGCCCTGGGCAGCTCGTCAGGACCCTGGACAGCACCGCAGGGATCCGGCACACACGGGGATGTTCACTGCACGGGAGGAGGCAGGGACTGCAAAGGGAGGGGAAAGGCAAGGGAATGAGAGAAGCACAGAATGGGCTGGGCTGGAAGGGGCCTTTGAGCCCAGCCAGCCCCTCTCAGACTGTTCCTGCTCAAGGAATAACCACCCCTGTACCTGTTCCAGCTTCTCCTCTCA